TCCCGCTGCAATTGCATCTTGCAAACACCAGGTCCCAGCCCTGCTTGAAGGACCACGGTGCTGGGGATGCCCATCCGTGCAGCTCGGTGCTCCTCACAGGTGGGAGCAGGGGTCAGAGGAAGAAGAGTGCTGATACTGTTTTAATCTTCCTTTTAACTGTAATTGCGTTTGGCCGGCTCCCCCGAGCTTGTTCCGGGAGATGCATTTTTCCCAGCTAGATTGCTTTCCTTGTTTTGCTCATTGGAGACAGGCCGGGGCCTGTGTCATGCCAGCTATGCATTAATAGAGCCTCAAATGAGATTTCACAGCCTCAAATCTGATTAGCGCCGAGGCTCCGGTTGCTTTGGAGAGTGGGGCAGACAGACGAGGAGCCGTGATGCTTGGGGGGGGGTGCAAACCCATACGGATGTGGGATGTCACGCTCTACCCTAACACTCTGGGCTTGCGGGGACCAGCGTGGAGCCTGGGGACATGGCGACAGCAGGGCACGGTGCAGCCGGGATGCAATGCATCTCCCACCCCCAGAAAACTCTGAATTCAGGATGCTAAATTGTCCCTTGCACAGCATGTTGGGAGAAGGCTGGTCTGGGCAAAGCAGCTGCATCCGCTCACCCATCAGCCGCTGAGTCCTTGCTGGGCTGCTCGTGGCCTGTAAGACCATATTTCACCCCATTTTGCTGCCTGATGACATGTAAAAATCCCCCTCCCCATCCCAGTTCCCCTGTGCCCGGAGGTGCGTGCTTGCTCGCTGCCCATGACGGAGATGATCGGCTGTTAGCTGGCTGCCTGCCCCCGTTAGCAGGAGATGCTCTGTGGTGTCCTGGGGGGCTCTTGGCATGATCTTGCATCCCAGAGCCCTGAGGTCCAGCCCTGAGAGGTGGCTGGATCTACTAGGATGTCCCAAGGGACACCTGGGGACCCAGCATCTTCAGGCTAGTCTGGCTCCAGGATATCCTGGCCTGGCTCCGGGCTGTCCTGATCATCCTCCAGCTCTACCTCGTGTTCAGACCCCCCATGGCACAGCGCTGGACGTGTAACCTGTGGACGGATCCTGCTGCTTGTTTAAAGCCAAGTGGCACTTTATTTCCCATCCTCTTGGCTTGCCAGGGGAGGGGAAGCAGCTTGCCGGTGTTTAGCTGCCATAAGGAGGCTTGAAAGGAGCCTGGGGAGACATCACATAGGAAAACTCACACCAGCTCCAGTCCATCTTCGCTCATGGAGCCTACTATTATTTTATGAAGTCTCAGGAGGAGAATAAAGCTGACACATTCCCAACAGCCGCTCATAAATTGTCAGGGGCAGGGAGGAGCTCGGGGCTGCGAATGCTCCCACCGTAGAGGAGCATATTCCTGCTCCCGTGGCAGCGTCGCTCCTGGCTGTAGCCAGGGCTGGGGAGCTTGTGGGGCTCGCTACGAAGGACCAGGAGGGTCCTAGTCCTTCCACGGTAGGGCAGGGGCTGGCGTCTTCTCCTGCAGAGCATCGTCCCAAGGAGCACTGGCAGGGCTGTGTTTGGGGTTGAAGAGGTGAACGCTGCAGGTGTACAGCCCCAGGCGCTCACCTCTGGTCTTGTGCTGTCCGACGCACCGGAGAAATCAAAATTCAAGCAGCATCCTGCAAGCACTGACCTTCTGCAAGGGGGAAAACGCAGCTCCAGCCCCCAGCCGTGGGCAGGGGCTGAGCCGGGATGGAGGAGCCCCTGCCCCGCTGCAGTGCCATGCCTGGATGTCCCTGCTGGCTCCCAGCCCGGGCTGCCCTCCCCGAACTAAACGCCGGGCTCTTGAGGCTATTTATGTCTTGTCAGCCCGCAGCCAGAAGCAATTTAATCTTGGCTGAACGCTGCTGTAGAGGAACTGCCTGGGCCCCGATGCTTCTTTCGAGATGATAAAGAGTTGATAGAAAAACAAATTACGATGATGGCAGCTCAGGCACCGTTAATCAACCTCCCCACAACATTGCAGTGTGAATAATTAATAATCGTCATTAAGGATGCTTTAAGGGTGGCTTGGGGTTAAGGTGCTGTGTGGGATCAGGGCAGTGGATTGAGTGAGGTGCTCGAGATGCTCTGCAGGAGTCGGTGATGCTCCAAGGGACCTCAAAATGTTTTAAACATGTAGTGTCCCCAGCTGAGACCCCTGGGGACATGGGAACTTTATTTTTTCTCCGCCTACGCAAGCTACAGGTTGCAAACTCCTGGGTGAGAGCGCTTGGCTTGGCAGGGAAGGAGAAGTTTTGCTTCCCGCTGAGTAAGAGAGCTGAAAAACAAGCGTGGGCTCTACCTGGAACCGCAGGCACCCTCCTTTCTGGAAGAAATACTGAATTTCTTCCTGGCTTTAAATAGTGACTGGGGATTTTTTTCGGTAGTTAATCACAGCCTTGCTGAGGGTTTCGGGTACCAGTTGCCTGCAAAACGTGGCATTGTTCACGCCTGCTATTTTTAAAATGTTTTGTTCTCCTGCTGGTTTTACTTAGCTTAACCGCTCGTGAATTTTCTATTAAAACCCCTCGCTAATTATCGTGCTGTAACCATTGCTAGAGGTAAAACCTACTTGTTTTCTTAGGGAAATGTAAATATATGTGGTGGGTATGAAGATGTGCACTAAGAAACCTGCTTCTGTTATCTGGAACGTGAAAGAAAATAGGAAAAACATAGGAAAATGTCCCAAAACAGTGATCTGGAGCTGTAAATAAGGGTGTGGTGTGGGACACCGATCCAGCATCACAGCTTAGGTCCTGGGGTCCCCCAAAGCAGGGCTCCATCAGCGAGCTCGGACGTGTCCGTGCAATTCAAAGCAAGGTTGTTTCCTGGCTCTGCCAGCTGGAATTCCTCTGGATTGGGTTTTTAGTGAGTGTTTGGGGTGCAAATACTCACTGAAACTCCAGAGCCGGAGCCTGAACAGATGCTTTCTTGAAAGGAGAGAAGGGTCTCCAGGGAGAGCATCCCTGCCTGCCCTGCCTGCCCACCCGTGTGCGCTTCCTGCCCGCGAATCCTGCACGCTGCCTCTTTGAAGCCCCCACCCATTCTTGCCCTCCCTTGGCGATGCAGCTGCGTGTTGATACAGCCCAGGGGTCTTAAACCCAAGTCTGTGCTTTCCTCCTCCTTTCCCCAGCTCCATCCCGCAGTTTGCCCTCTTTGTCGATGCTGGGATGGAGCAAAATCATGCTTTTTTTTTTTTTTAGGATAGCGCTTATGCTCTTTCACACACACCCCTTTTTCCCTTCCTCTCTGGAAAAGCCTTGGGAAGGTGTCAGGGCTTGCCGTGCTGGGCTTTTGGGGGTGCAGGGAGTGCTGCGGTGCTCAGGCAGGGAGCGGACCCGCTCCGGCTGGCGGCAGGGAGAGCCCATGCCCGTGAGGGGTGACTTGATGGGTAACATCTCACGTCAGGTCGCGAAACCCTGTAATTTCCCCTCTCCATCAACGTCGCTGGGCAGGGGGATAATTGCTTACAGAGCTGGAGCCGAGGTGGGATTGGGATCCACGCCCCCCACCCCCCCATCTGCTCTGCAGGTCGGGGAATCCTCCCCCACTTTGTGTTTCTGCTCCTTCGGTGCCACTTTCTGGCTGTCACAGATGCTGAGCCGGTCCCCAGCACCCAGCCCCGAGCTCCAGCTGGCTTCTGAGCTGACAGCAAAAAAATAAGGGGGCAAAAAAGCTGATTTAAATGTTTTTCTGAGCTGTTGGTGGTCAAAGCACCCAGGTTTCCATCCCCCAAGCGATCCTCAGGTTTGGGTTTGTTATCCCCCACGGTGGTGGGTCACCTCCCCGCTGCCAAGCCCATCACCGCTGCAGCCGGGCGGCCTCCGGAGAGACAAGGGAGAGGGCTTAGGGCGAAGCAGCCCCTCATTACAGAGTTTGGAGGCAAAGCCACGCGTCGGAGGGGATTTGCAGGCAGCGGTTTTGAGAAGCCCACAGGGTGGTTGCTGAGCTGGAGCTCTTGCTTTCACCCCAGGAGGTCAGAAGGATGCAGGAAGGGTTTGCTTTTCAGGGTCTGAAACGGTGCAGGGTGGGTTTTAACCCCTTGTAGGCACAGCACTATGCAATATTAGATGCGTTAATGCTGCGTGCTGCCCAAGACGGTGGCACGGCGAGGATGCAGCCAGGGTGGGGAGGACGGCGCCGTCTCTCACTTGGACGGGGTGTGATGGGCGCGGGGACGGTCCCCCTGCGGGTGAGGAGCGGCAGCTTGCAGCTCTGCCGCTCCTTATCACATCAGCTGGTGGGAATTAATGAGCTGGGGCGGGGGGAGCCGCCACGCTCTCCCCTTTTCCCCCCGGACTGGGCTGAGATCCCAATTCCTGCGGAGTCCCTACAAATTGCAGATGATGCCTGGGCTGGTGAGAAGGGGGAGCAGGGGGATGGCAGGGGCCAGGGCCGGGGTGGGGGTTGTTGGCAGGTCAGAGGGCCCTGGGGGAAATGGAGATGTTTTAGACGGTTAATCCCTGTTTTGGTGACCTGGCTTGGGGTCTGTGGTTGGACCGTGGTGTAGCTGGCGCCCTTGGGACCATGCTGAGCAGGGATGCTGGGCCGGTTTCAGCCTGTGCAGGATGCTCTCGTGCTGCTGGGTGTCCTCCCAGAGAGCCTGGCACCCGTTGTGGCCCTGCCGTGGCATGGTGACATCCCTGGTGCAGAGCCACGGCTGGGCCCTGGGGACGGGGAAGAGGCAGCTGTGATGGGGATGTGCCAGGGACATCCTCTCCCCGGCTTGTTCTCCCCCATCCGGGCTCTCAGCATCGAGCAAAGCTTGTGGGAACCGGCTTGGGCAATGAAGATGTGCTGGGGACACCATCACCCCAGCTTGTTCTACTCCACCTGGGCTCTCAGCATTAAGCAGGGGTTGTGGGGACAAGTCTGGGTGATGGAGATGCACCAGGGGCATCATCTCCCCCATCTGGGCTCTCAGCATTGAGCTGGGGCCATGGGGACAAGGTTGGGTGACGGAGATGTGCCGGCAGCTTTGCCAGCCGCTCCCCACCTTGACGTCTCTCCCGCTTACTCCCGGCAGGTATCCGAGTGCCCCGCTGGGACGGAGGAGCCCAGGCACGCACCAGGGGCTGGCAGGGGGCACGTGGCTCACGTGGGGAAGGAAGCCATCACCGTCACCCTCCACAGTGCCAGCAACCTGCCAGCCACGCGGGAGGGCCGGGTGCCGTGGCCATACGTCATCGTGTGAGTACCCAGCATCCGCGAAGGGGGACAGCGGGGACACAGCGGTTGAGGAGCTGTCACCCTGTTATTAACTTTGTAAGCCCCAGGAGGTCAGAAATTTTGAGGGGGAAACTTCTTTTGCGGTGACATGCACAAGCATCACCTCCATGTGATGCTCAGTGCAGGGAGAGGAGCCAGGACTCCTCACTGAGCTGGGGGAAGGCGGGGGACGGGGTGCTTTGGCTCGCTGGGGCATCGGGAAGAAAGCATTCCAAATACTGAAAGTATAAAATGATGTCAAAGAATCCACAGGGTAATGCTGCCTGGGGTTGGGGATGATATCACGATAAATAAAAGAGTGTTTTAATAAATAAAACAGGATGCTTGGGTAAGGAGAACTTGGCTCCTCGTGCATTATGCATGTGCCAGGGGACTCAATTAGCTGGTCATGCTTTGGTCTGTGTTAAGAGGGAGGCCGCTCCGCTCGGCGCTGCTGCGGGGTGAGCTTGGGATCCCAAAGAGCCCTTCCAGGAGGCAGACCGGCTTCGGCACCACTTCCCTGGAAAAGGGGGGAGAAAGTGGCTGTCGGTGGCTTTGGAGCATCGCCTGGCTCCCTGCGGAGTTTGGTTTTTCTGGGCCATCCCCCTGGGGCAGTGCTGGGCAGGCTGGTACCCAAGCAGGTGCATTGATGCCAGGGGACAGGGAAGCGGGGCCGGGACTCATCCGCTGGGGACAATCAGCAGCCAGGGCTGTGAAAGCCTGGAAACATCTCTCCAAGCGTGTAGAGCAAACTGTTGCTTGCTAGGCATTTTCCAATGTACAAACCCTGAGCTCCATGGTGGAGGGGGTCCCAAGGTCTGTCAGCGTGGCACAGCGTGCCTTTTCTCCATGGTGCCCGACGCCAGCCGCTTCGGATGTCCCGGAGGCTCCCTGGGCAAGAGGGATGCACCTCTCCATTGCGGGGGCAGCGTCTGTTGGGTTTTTGGGGCTGGCTGGCACCTGCAGCCCGGCAGGAGCCGGCTGGCACGTGGGCTGGCAGCCCCCACTGCCGCCCCTCTATCACTCCTTCCCCTCTTTCCCACACCCTCCATGCCAAGGACCCGCTCTCTGCCCCGACAGCCTGAGTAACGCCACCGCAGGAGTTGTCTCTATTTCCATAAACCAATTATACCCAGATAATCTCAGGAGATTTAAACATCAATATCCTAAATGATAGCACGAGGGTGGCGTGTGATTGTTGCATCTCTCTTTACATTCTAGTGCTGCTCCATCACCGCATTGCCATGGTAACGGGGGAGTGATGGAGGGGAGGGTGGTATTAGGGATGCAGGACACATGAGGAGCCTTTTAGTAACCATAGTGAGGGAGCCAAGGCAGAAGGGAATCAGTTATTGTTTCTCAGGGCGCTTGCTTTTGAAGGAGAGTAGCATGTTGCAGTTAAAAGGTGGGTTTTTACGGACGGGAAGGAGAAGCGGTCGGCGGATGGTGCTGGTGGGGACCTGGTGGCAGCTGGTCCCCCCCAAAGCGGCTGGGTACCACCAGCGGAGCCAGCCCGAGCTCAAACTGCCGGCACCCACAGCATCACCCCCCAAAATCAGGAGTGGGATGGGAGGAGGGGAGCAATACCACTTGCACCAACCCTTTGTGGCTGTGCCCGGACTCGGCATCCCATAGCGCTCCGTAGTTGTGTGCATCGCTTCCAGCCCTCGGTGCAGAGGATCGGGGAGGAAAAGGTTTGGCAGAGTGAATCTGAAAGACCTCAAGCAGCAGGAGAGCCCGCGCAGGCATCCCGATGGGCTTGGGCTCATCCCTGCCCCGGAGAGGATGGGGCTGCTCCGGGGACCTGGCAGCGGCTTGGCTCTGCTCCTCATCCTCTGAATCCTGAGCAAATCCCCACTCCCTGGTTTCAGGGGCATCCATGGGTTTGCTCTGCGTCTTCCTTTCACTCCCTCGTGCGCACAGATAAATTGCTCCCGGACCGGCGTGACGCGGGGATGACCTTGGCGCGCTGGAGCCAGGTGTGTTCGCAATTAACGGCACAAAGCGCCTGGCTCCAGCCGGCTTCTCCTCTCCATTGAGTACCGCGGGTTGGTGAAAGCACCTCCTCGCTTCTTCCTTTCTGCTCTTCAGCGCCAAGAGAAGAAACTCAAGGTCGCTGCTGAATGCGCCGTCTGCTCCCAGCCTGGGGGATGGGGGCTCCGATGTCTCCCCGCCTGCGGGTTTGCCCGTCCTGGTTGTGGTGCGGATGGGGTGCTCCACCTGGGAAGGGGTTAGGGTGTTCCTGCAAGCAAAGCCTTTTGGCTCTGTGACGTGGCCAAAAAGATACCAGGGGCTCAGCTGATAACCCCAGAGCAAGAGGGTGTGGGAAGCGGGACTAAGCGGGGTCTTTGGGGGTCCCCTCCTCACCCCAGCACCCGGCTTAGGTCATGGTGGGATGAAGATGGACTGTCCCAGGGTTAGAGGGTCAGGAGCAATGTAAAAATTGGATATTGCAAAGGAGACAGGAAATTATAATTCTTCGTTTCTCATTCTGAATCTTTTCAGAAATTGCTCTTACACCTCTGTAATTTATTTGTCTGTATTTATTTACCCCAACTGCACCTGAGCCCCCCAGGCTCAGCACCGAGCACAGTGGGGCTGCGTGGTGGGGGGCGGCATCGCCTTCCCCAGCGCCGGATTCCGCAACCGCCGCATAAGTAACACCCTGGATGTCGGCCCTGCGAACCGTGGCTGTGCTGCACGGGATTTTCCTTCCCCGAGAATGATGAGTCTGCACCACCACATTGCTTCTGCAGGGATGTCGGCTCCGAGAAATAACTCACCCTGTAGAGATAATAACTTATAACTCTGGATAAATAAATATTTACGAGGGCTGGGCACAGCCCTGCCAAGCCCTTTGCTGGGCACCCAGGTGTCACACGCAATGGGGTGGCTGCGTGATGCTGTCCCCGAGCACCGTAGCCGAGACGCTATGTATAATTCCCCAGGGGTGACTGTCTTTATCTTTCATCTTTATCTTTTATCGCAGCGGTGGGTGACTTGGTGCATCCCCGCACGGCAGAGCGAAGTGCCTACCCCGGAGCAGGCGGGGAGGGATGCGGAGCATCAGAGGAACATCTCTTGGTCCATCCCGGCCATGTCCTGCCCCAAGGCATGCGCTCCCGTGAGCAGCTCTCTGCAGCGCCTGCTCGCTGGAGATCCCATCTCTGGCCCCACCAGCGGGTCTGGAGCTGGCTGGGGTGAGGAGGAGACATCAAACCATCTCCGCTCTCCACCGTTCCTGCTGCCCCCGGCCTATTCATTTGATTTTGAAGCACATCACCATGTGTTGCACTGTTGTGGGTTGTTTCCCCCTCCCACCCCCACTTCACAGCTCTTTTTGAATGCTCTCTCGTCCTTAGGCAAGTCTATAATGAAGGGGGCCCAGAGCAGCCAATTCTCACCCTCCTCCTCCCACCCCCCCTAGCCCAGGTCTGGCTTCATTCGGACTCCGAGCACGTTGCTGGTAGAGCAATCCCCCACAGAGCTCATTACTGGAGAGCCGATTTTCTTCCAGCCCCTCCACAACGGTGCCAGCCCGATGCTAATTCCCACCTGCCAGAGCTGGCCGGCTCGGCTCCATCCCTGCGGGATGCAGGTGGGCTTCTCCAGTGGGGAAGGGGACACGTGGGAGATGGGAGAGGAGCATGGGGCATGGATGCAGCTTGGCTGAGGGGCTGTTAGACTGGTCTCTCCAGCAATGAGAGAGGATGGAGGTCTTGCGAACATGGAGCATCCTCCCATCCAGCTCGTACCGCTGGGATGAACCTGCTTGGTCCCACCACCACCTTGAGCTCACGCTGCAGCTGGAACGACCTTTATAATCTCCTTTCTCCCAGAGATGGGGTGGCAAAGTGCCACCATCTGCTCTCTGTCACCACAGTGCTCCGGTAACCTCTCCCTAAGAGCCACGTTGGCTCTGCTACAGCAAGAGATTTCCTGGAGGAGCCAACACTGGACACTTTATCATCTTAATATCCAGAGCATCCCATTGGCAGGGCTGGGGCATCTGTGTCACGTTGGCCTGATGCCACGTCACTGTCCCCCTTTACCCCGTGGTTGGGGATGGAGAGGACTTGAGGTCACTACATCACCAGGCGGTGGGATTCTGTCATGGTCTTGGGACTCCCAGGATAACACCAAGTGTCTTACTGGGCAGCGGAGACTCCCTAGAAGATCTGCTAACCCCCCAAATGGGGGGGCATTATTATCATTAGCCAAGCTCGTGAGTGGTTGGTGATCAATTGATAAAAGTGGGAGGAACAACCCCAAAACAGCCCTCCTGGTGATGGCCCTGCACCAGCATGGATGAAGAATTACCCAGGGCCTATAGCCGCTAGCGCCGCCGTAATTATTGCTTAGCCTCGTTATGTGCCGAGTTTAATGACAGCGGTCGTTAACATTCAATCTTCTCTCTCCTTTCCCAGCAGCCTCCTCCCTGTCCCTTCATCAATACAGCCAGATAATTAGCCTCTGGGGCCTGAAATAGCCTTTTGGATAAAAGGGGCTGCAAACCCTACCACTGGGGGCTCGGCAGGATCCGGCAGCCGGGAGGGAAACCAGCCCTGGACCCCCAGCGCAGCCCCCCCAGAGCAGGGCCAGAGCTTTGCTAAGGGTGGTGGGAACATGGGCTGGCCACTGTTAGCTGCACCGAGCGGGGACGGTGCTCATCCCTCTCCCAGGCCCAGCTCCCTGCTGACACATTCCCCTTCCTCACCCAGTAACCGGCCTGTTTCGCCTCCCTTTTCCTCCCAGTAAGACCAGCAGAGAGGATGAGCAGAAGCCGGAGGTGACTCGTGCATCCTCGGTGCCCACCCACACACCCACCTGGGAGGAGGAGGTGACGGTGGAAATGGATGCTGAAGATGTGGGCTGGGCAGGTGAGAGCATCAGAGGACCATGGGGACAGGGATGCTGGGGACCAGGACATGGGACTCATCTCCTCAAAGGGTTAATTTGGGGATATTAGGGAGCCCGGGCTCTGAAGGACCCCGAGCAGCACCCAGGCAGAGGGCGACCGCGATGGGGACGAGCCATGTCCTGAGCCCTGCGTGGCTGCGGTGGCTTCAGGGTAGGACCGGGAGGGACATGTCCCCAGATACGGTGCTGCAGGATGAGGCAAGCGACGGTGCCGAGCGCTGGGCGTCCTCCAAAGCGTCCCATGGGAACCGGCATCAGGGGAGAGCACCCCAAATCCTTCCCCACTGCCATCCCAACCCTGACACCTTGTATCGGTTGGACCCACATCATGATGCTGTTACTCCCCGCGCAGGGCTGCTAAGTCTGCAATTGTAATAAGACTCATGGCATTAGGGGCCGGGATTTGATTATAATCAGACCCTTGCAAAACAAACTGTGGGAGCCAATCTTCACATCGTGCCTAATCCCATTCGACCCTGACCTAAATGAAATTGAGGAGCTTTTGATGTACTTTGGACCTGCCCCGGGCGGTACCGGGAGAGACGCGGGGAGACCCGATGGGACCTCCGGCCCCGCTTGTCCGCTTCCCAGCATCCCCCAGATGTTCAGAGATGTTCGTCCCCCAGATGTTCAGACCGGAGCTGTCATTTCCAGGTGCAGCTCGCACCTTTTCTTGCCCAGAAATACGGTTTCCATCCTTTTCTTGCCCAGAAATATGGTTTCCATCGGTGGGACTGCCGAGCGTGATCTATCATTGGTGATGACGAGCAGAAAGGCCACTTGTCTCTCGCTCGACCCCAGAATATTTTCCCTGGTGCTCTTTCTACAAGGGGCTGGGAGGAAAAGAAAATCTCCATATAAATCGAGCACTTGCTGAAAAGCACGAGCTCGGGAAAGCGTGGTCCACGCACTTGCCTGGTCCATCATCTTCGTTTTGGGGACATGCAAGACCTGTGGCATCGCCAGGTTGGCCAAGCAGGAGTTAAGGCGGGTGCCTCGGCACAGTCATTAAGCTGGGGGAAGGGAAGCCCAAGTCTTGATGGCAGCATAAAGAGAGGGCGTTTTTCCCTTCCATCAGCTCCTTTTTTTTGATAAAAGGCTCCTGCTCCTGCTTGTCAACTAAATTGCAGCTTTGCTTTAAATTAAGGGAAGAGCTGGGGGTGCCAGCGCCCGTGGGGGTGATGCTGCTGTGCCGGGGGTCAGATGGAGACTGGGCACCCCCGAGAGGGCAGATGCCTGTGGTGGCAAGTGTCTGCAAAACCCACCCGTGGGCTGCTGGCTGACCCCGGGGCAGGGAGGGCTCAGGGCAGGATCGCACCCCGGCAGCTGAGCGAGGTGGGCTGGAGACAGGGAGGTGGATTAGATGGATAAGCGGGAAATCCCGGCTTCTTAAATGGGAATCTGAGCTGCATTGGTGCCAGCTGCTCACGGGCTTCGCTTTCTTGGGGATGTCTGGGACATGCTCTTGATGGCTCCTTGAGATGCATGTGTGTGGGTGTGCCTGTAAACCCAGGATGGGTGTAAATCCTGCCCCTGTCCACCCCACCATGACCTGCGAGGAAGGGGCTGCTGAAAGTGAATCAATCCCCCCATCGCTTCTGTCCCTTCTTCACCCAGACCTTCCCCCAAACCTCTCCCCATCCCTTCGCCTGCTCTCCCCTTCCCCAAACCCCGCGGCCAGCCCAGCTCATCCTGATGGCTGACCCTCTCCCTTCCAGCCCTGACTCTCACCGTGGCAGACAAAGCCACCAAGGAGGCGTTGGGGACCTTCCAGCTGCCGGTGCGGCACCTCCAGCCCTTCCAGCCCCACCACTGCAGGCTGGTGCTGGTAAGTAGGGCGCCTGCCCCTCCATCCCGCTGCTTATTCCTGCTGATAACTTTGATTTTCACCCCAGGGCTGTAGCTGGGGGTTGTGGGCAAAGGGAGCCTTGTGTAACGGCATAATCCCGGTGGGAAAACCGAATTTGGCAAGTTGGGGAAGGTGCTCAAAGAGGCTTGTGAGCTTCCCGCGAGGTGGGAACAAGGCAGGCGTTGTGCTGGGCTTTTTTTCATCTCCCTCCGGTGGGAAAACGTGGAGGAAAAGCGATGGGATCGCAAGCTGGGAAGTGCTTTCGCCCTCAGCATCCTGGGGAAGGAGATGCGGGGCTGGGCCATACGTCAGAGCATTCGTTAAACAGGGGCCGCTGTGCATTAATTAATGCAGGCAGGTACCCAGCCCCAGAGAGAAGCTGCTTCCGAAGCCTCTCGGTGGGGATTTCTCCAGCCCAACACGTTAACAGTCCCGGGGACTTGGCTGATAGCTCCCTGTACAGCTGAGACCTGGCAAACTCACTCAATACTTCCCCCAGAGCAGCCTCCCCTATGCTCTGGCTGGCAGAAATGACTTTCCTCTTCCCTGCACAGAGATTGGGAGCGATTAAATATTTAAATGCGGAAGGATTTATTATATTGATCTTTTCCGGCAAGGCTCGGGGGGACAGTGAGTTTTAATTGTCAGTTGGTGCTTTATTGTCAGCGATGGGCTGCCTGCGCGCGCAGCGCCCGCGTTTGGTAGCCTTGACCCTTCCTCCTCCCACGGTTCGCTCTCCTCCGCAAACAGCCGAGGACGCGGGACCCCGCGGGGACGGTCCTGCACGTCACCATCATCCGCAAAGGGAGCTTCATCCCTCGCTGCGATGGATTGAGCTACGTGGCCTTGGAGGTGAGAGGTGGCCCTGGGGACAGGAGGTGGCAGGGTCCGGGACAGACCAGAGCATCTCGAGTCAGGGAGGACGCTGCTGCAAGTTGTCTCCTGCTCCAGTGACTGTTGATGCTGATTTAGGGCGGCTTGTTTCCCCCGCCCCATCTGCTGAGCCCTCACCATGGGCTCCCCACCTCCCAGGTGCTGCTGCGGGGGCTGTCAGCCCCCCTGGCCACCCCCCTCGGGGCCCTCGTCGCGGTGGCCAGAGTTGTGACCAACGTTCGGGAGTACGAGTGAGTTATGGCCATGGGGGGCTGTTGGTGTCATGGGCGGGGGGGTGCTGGGCTTGGGACAACCTGAGCACCCCTGGTGCCATCACCCCCTCCTGCGGCGCTTGGCTTGCCAGGAGCAGACACGACTCCGCACGTGCTGACTCTCCCCCTTTCCATCACCTCTCAGGCACCGCATGGAGAAGCATCCCATCGCCTGGCCTGGCATCAGCCCCACCACCATCACATTCCCGGACCCTCCGGCAGCAGCCTTCAGCATCGCCCGAGCTGCCAACCACGGCTGCCCGCAGGTACGAGGCCGAGCACATCCGCAGGGATGCACGGGTCCGGCAGCATCCGTCCCGCTTGGGTACCGGTGAGCATCCCTCCTTTGGCAGGGGAGCTGAGCACCCCGTGCAGGGAAAAGCTTTAGGGGCAAAGCGATGCTTTGAGCACCAAAGACGCGATCCCCACATCCGCCTCGCCCTGCCTGCAGAAACCCACAGGCAGCTCCTCGTTTGTGCCTTTGTCCTTCGATTTTCCCCCTGCTCCGCTCGCGCCTCCGGCTTGAGTGCCGCCTCTCGAAGGCAGAGACCTTCTCCTCCCGGGGGCTCAAGTACTGCTGGGAGAGCTAGCGACGCACATCTTCAAAATAGCTGTTGCCAGGGAAACATATGCTTTCGGCACGCGGCATCATCGGCGAGCAGGAGGAGGGCCCCGCTTTTGTTCCTGAGCCCTGCCAAAAATTGGCAGGGAGGGAGAGGCAGGGGACTGGAGGGATGCTGGGGCAGGGAGGAGGTGTGATGGGGCAGCCAAGCCAGAAGCCGGTGTGAAGCTGCCGCCTCTCAATACCAGAGCTGCTCCATCCCTTCACCTCCGAAAAGCGCCAGCCGAAAGTGTGGCAAAGGCAGATGTCCAGCTGCCCCCAAAAGATGGATCCAGCTGGTCCAGAACGCCAGCGGAGCACACGTTTCTCCGTCTCGGTCCTTCTCCCCCCCGTGCGTTGAATTTTGATCGTCTCGGAGCGAAACACCCTGTATCAACACGTTCGGGGAGCCCATAAATAAAATATTACTTAGAGGAGGCCAGCCAAATGCCAAGTTACCCACAAGGCGGTGAATGATCATAAAAATCGCTAGTGCATTTCATTCATTACAATAATTGTTGTTTTATTGCCCCCCCCCCCGCCTCTCTGGGTTGTTCTTTGCAGGTGAGAAGCGGGGGGGGAGAGCCAGGGACCCTCTGCTTTGGGTCTGCACCCGCTTTGGGCCCCCCTGGGACCCAGCACCCCCAGCCCCCCCATGGCAATGGGTCTGGGGTACGGGCTGCCCACGCTGGCTCCGGAGCAGATATTAGGAAAGAAATCCCCGTGCGCTTGCCCCTGCATTATCTCCCCCCCACACACCTCTGCTCCAGGATGCAGCACCCCGAGGCTGCAGTTTCCCAGCCAGAGCAGGGATATTTCTCTCCTCTAAAGGCAGTCAAAATCCATTTCCTTCAGATTTATATGGATAAATACACACACAAACCCCTGTGAACTCGTGGGAGCCGGGCACTGGGTGAGCCCAAGCTGAGCCCCACAGCCCTGGCACAGGCGGCGGTGCCAGCGCAGAGCCATGGGAGCCCGATGCGGGAGGACGAGTGATTAAACTTGGCCATCTGGCCTGCGTGCATGCTGCTGCCGCCTCCTCCTCCTCCTCCTCCTCCTCTCCACGCCCACATGGCTGTCTGGCTTTGCACATCGCCAAGGATGCTCTCCCTGGGGATGCACGGACAGGGTGCCCTGGGGAGCTGCATAACCCCCATCCGCTCTCTCCCCCTGTCTCCTGCCTCAGTTTCCCCACCTGTAGGACGCGGTTCCTTCCCGGGGAGGATGAACTCCTAATGCCTGGGAGGAAAGGTTAGGGCAAGGCTGGGAGGAGGAGGAGGAGGAGAAGGAGGAGGAGGAGGCGGAGGGAACATTGCTGCTCCGGTTCCAGAGGTTAATGGCTTTCCCGGAGCGAACTCCTGGGCAGGCTAATCGGATTCGATAATTCCGCCAGCCCAGCGTGTCCTCTCGCCTGTCGGTTCCCATCAGTGTCTGCAGACAACGGCACTTGGGTTCACCTTCAGCAGGGCACCCCTCTTACTTAGGGGTTTTTTGGGGTTCTTGGGTGGTTAACCCTTCCCTGCCTGGCCGGGGCTCCTGGACACCTGGTCTTCCTGGCCAGGAGTTAGCTGAGACCTGCACAGAGCCACCTGCGAGAAGGTTGCGTGCTCTCCTTGGGTGCTCTCCTTGGGCCAACAGCCCTTTTCTCAACAAAAGGGATGTGTTTGGACACGCTGGTGGCAATGGCAAATCCATGGGGTGGATGGGCACCGGGCTGTGCCTCCTACAGAAAGCCACGCCATGTCTGCCCTCCCGCCACCAAGCTCAAGCCTTCGTGATGTTGGTCCCTTCTAAGATAAATCTCCTTTTGGGCTCTTTCCCTTAGGGACCCTCCAGTTTAACCCACGTATCTGGAGCTTCTCGCTCTATTCCGGGGTCTGCACCCTCCAGACAGGCAGCCGTGAGGACCAGGGGATGGCCCCATCCCTTGGGAAGGCAGGAGAGATGCTTGTGCGCTTGGCCACCTCTGCCTCTGCTCGTGCCAATGATGCTGCCTTTGAACCAGCCTTTGTACGGGAGACGAGCTGGGGTATCCAAGGAGGATGAAGGCGTCTCCTTCCTCCTCCTCCTCCTCCTCCTCCTCGTCCCATTTGTTGTGTTTCTCCAGGTGGCCCTGGGCAGGGGCGGTTGTTGTGCCAAGACGTCTGCCCAGATCAGTGCATCGGCTCTGACGCCCCGGCGCAGAGCATCCATCTGTCCCGCTGAGCCGGTGGGAAACAGCCTGGCCCTGGCGAGCGCTCCTGCCCCCCGCCCCCAACCCCCAAAATCAGGGGGGGAATTCAGGAACATCATCTCCCATCCCTGTCCCGGCGAGAGGAGCCATGTGGGCTCGGGACCTCTGACAAATGGGGTCAAATTAACAATATGCTCCCACGTTTGACTCTTCCCTTCCCCGCTGAGTCTAAAACGGCACCATCTCGCAGCGCCTTGTACAGGTCGATGCCAGGAAAAGTAACTGGAGGCGGCATTCGGTGGTTTTTAGGAGATTTCCCCCCCAAATTCGGCTTTCTGAGGCTGATGAAACAGCCCCGTGGGCTGGGATGCAGGCTGGGAAAGGAAAGGAGCGGCTGGAGGATGCTGAGCCGGATCCAGCTGCTGGGAGCTGCCCCAGTCCGTGCGGGTTTTCCCTAAGGACTTACAGGCACAGACTGGGCTCCCTGCAGTCAAAGCAAGCTGCATCCCAGCTAAAAATCCCAGCTGATGCTGGGGAGCCTCTGACAAATTCCTGGCTGAGAGAGCCAGCCCGGTGCTGAGCCAGCACTAACAGCGCTTGCCTGATGCAGCCCATCGTGGAGGTGTTTTCGGGCTCTGAAGCATCCCAGCCTCGCTCTCCCCTTGCTAACAGCCCCCAGGGCTAAGTAATGCACCGCTGCGGGTCTCCGAGGTGCGTAATGCCCATTAGCATCCCCAAACGTGAGCAGAGGGAGACCCCCCTTCTCCTCCTCCCACCCTCCCCGACGAAGCAGAAATGTGCTGATGCAGAAAAGCCGATCGGCTTCTCGTCCCCGCTGAGTGATGCTGGCCGAGGGGATGGAGTAACAGCATTAAAAAGGAGCCGCTGTCAATACTTTCTTGGCGCTGGGCAGCCGGTGTTAAGGCTGACCTTTGGAGAGCTGGCGGGGCTCTCCAAAGGCAAAGGGGAGCAGCTGCTGGCGGGGATGGACCGATGCCATTTCCAATGACAGATCGTGGCTCTGGGGATAAACATGTTGCCCGCTGTTCGATATCTATCGGGCGACCCGGACCTCACGCTTGGGAAAGGGTTTTGCGATGATATAAGGACCCCCCCCTGCATGCAGGCTTTTGGGGTCCATATATCGTCACAAAACCCTTTCCCAAGTGTGAGCACCAGGTTGCACAAGAGATATCAAAAGGCTTACCCTGGAGTCAGCACAGCTCATCCTCCAGGCTCTTCCCATCGTGTTTTTAAGCATGGGGTAGTTGATCCATGTGCTGTTTTCCTCCTCTGGCTCTGCGAGAGGGAAGATGCTGGCAGGGATTAGCCAGACAGAAGCAGCCAAGCTCGAAGACCCAGTGAAAACCTGTTCAAGCAACTGGAATTTGGGGTTGCTTTTGAGCCAGGGGTGGGATGCAGCTGCACAGGTTGTGCTTTTCTTTACCCCCACCTCTCCTCTCCCTCCTATCTGCCTGCTTATTTATCTGTAGAGAGAGAAGGTATCTGAAGGATAATTTTCCCGTTGTCTCCTAAGATGTCCCGACCAGCCGGGCCCCCAGAGCAGCCGACCTGGGACACCTCCTTCCTCTTCCAAGGCCGAGACGTGGCCACCATCTTCTCTGAAGACACTGCCCTGGCGATCGAATATTATCCGCACAAAGCCAGTGAGTCTGGGGACCCCACCGAGGATGTTCTCCCTCGTCCCTGGGTTTGGCCGGGGGCAGGTCCTGAGCTGCCGTGCCCCCAGCCGGCTGCTCTCGCCCCTTCCCCAGTGTGGGATGCTCCGGGCACCCTCGTTCCCGTGGGATACTCGGTGCTGCCCCTCACCAACCGCGTTTTCCGGGAGCTGACGGCGCAGAGCGGCGGGATGCGTGTGGACAGCCTCGCCGTGCAGGTGAGCCGGGGGCTGCGGGGTGATGCTGGGCAGGTGGCACGGTGATGGTACCTACAGGTGATGGTATAGCTGCTGGCGTGGTGGGAGGGATCTCCGCGTCTGGGTGGGCAGCCTGGCGCAGAGCTCCCGAGGATCCCACGGGAAGCTGGGGTCCCTGCTCCAAACCGCAGCCCCGGACCCCCTGGATGTCATCTGGCTGATGCCAAAGCCACCAGAGTCCCGGTAGAAACCCAGAGGCCAGCGCGGGCTGTGACCCTTCCTCTTTCTCCCCAGGGCACGGACCTCAAAACCACGTCTGGGGCCATCCCGACCGTGGGGCTCTGCCTGCAGCTCCTTCGATCGGAGGTGAGACACTGGGGATGGCGAACCCCGAGGCAAGGGGGGATGGGGACAGGGCAGGAGATGGCTCTTTAGAGCTGCCACCCTCTCTCCGAAACTCTCAGGCGGGGATCAGCTGGGCTGGATCCGGGTTTTATCCCTTGTGCCTGTTGTCTCAGGGCTCTGGATTGCGCCACCGGGCAGTTGGAAAAAGCAGCGTCATTCTTGCCCTTGCGCATCCATCGCTTTCCCAGGGCTCTTGGCACGTGCTCGTATTCCCAGGAAATCCCGGCTGGAGGCAGGGGGGGCAGGCAGGGCACAGGCAGGGTATTTGGGAGAGGCTGTTCGCCGCCTTCGTGCGGAGAAGGACCAGGCTGGTTAACCACGGTGACAAATGTCCAGCTGTCTTCATCCTTCAGCATTTGTGGTCCCCAGGGATGTCACAGCAGGGAGGGAATTTGGCTTTTCCCGGGGAGGAGGGAACCCCGCTTGCCCTTGGCTCCAGGACCAGCCCTCGGGCAGGTTAGGATGCGGCCGTGAGCCCGATTGATCTAATTACTGCAGCCGCCAGCCTCTGCTCCCATCTGCAAAAAAAAATCCTATCCATAAAGTGAATTTGGGACAGGTCTGGATGCTGCGCTGGTAACTGCATCCCCCCCGTCGCCGGGGGAGCCGCAGTGGGCCGGGGCCGGCTGGTGGGGGTCTTTGGAGTGATTGCCCAGGGGGGTCAGCGAAAAGGGGTCTGCGTGTGATGAATTATTCACATGGGTGTCACTAAGTGCAGAATTAATCCTTTTGCTTCCAGCTGGCTGCTGCACTAAATTATCACTCGCAGTCATGCGGGAAAATGCTGCGGAATTCATTTAGCTGATTATTGTTTTGATCTGGGAGCTGTAATTTTTTTTTCTCCTCTTCCCCAACCTCTCCCTTTCCCCCCCTCCAGCCCTGCCTTCCTTAATATATGTAAGAGCTGGGAGCAGAAACAAAAAACAGGAGAGCCAGAGCCGGCCTTGGGCTCCGCGTCTGGTTAATTTATCCGGCGGCAGCCCGGGCAGACGGACCGGGAGTGATGCAAATCAATGAGCGAGTTGCTACCGAGCAGGGTGAGGGCAGGTTTGGCTCCTCCCGGCTTTGCTGAGGCCCTTATTTCTTGCCTGGAGGTCAGAATGTTCCAAGGAAGATGCCCCAGACGGCTGGCTGTGATCCCCAGCACCCCAAAACTGCAGCCCGGCGGGCAGGGGAGATGCTGCCGTGGTTGCAGGAGCAGAGCCTCTTCTCTCCCCCTTTTGGCAGCCCCAGGCTTCAAGGGATGCTTGAAGGCTGGATTTCCAATTCTTCGGCTCATGGATTAGTCCTGAGCTCGGCTTTGGGACAGCAAGAAGTGGCCAAACCGGGGCCAAGAGGCAAAGACAGTCAATACAGGACCCGTACTGACCCAGCGAGGCATCAGGGCAACCTCCGTACCGGGGTTGTTCTTGGGGGTGCGCAGATCTGCGGCATCCCTGCCCGTCCCGGGGGTGCGAGGAGCTGCAGCATCCCTGCCCGTCCCGGGGGTGCGAGGAGCTGCAGCATCCCTGCCCGTCCCGGGGGTGCGAGGAGCTGCAGCATCCCTGCCCGTCCCGGGGGTGCGAGGAGCCGCAGCATCCCTGCCCGTCCCGGGGGTGGGGGGAGCCGCAGCATCCCTGCCCGTCCCCGGGGTGCGAGGAGCCGCAGCATCCCTGCCCGTCCTGCCCCGTGCTCTCTCGCCTCACAGCTCTCCCCAGCCAGATGGCAAAGGAGAACAGACTCACCGAGCTCGTCTCCTTTCTTTTCTTATTTTTTTTTTAATTTTAATGTAGAGAGCTGAAAGTGCATATCCTAGATTGGCTGGGCTTTTTATAACAAACAGCAGCTAAATAAACCCTGGGCCATCTGTACTCCCCGGCGCACTCGGAGCTGGGCGTAACTCCCGCCTGCTCTGTGGCCTCTGCGGGGATGTCACCGACTCCTACCGGGGGTCTGGATGCTCCCAAGCTTGGCTTCGGATGCTCACATCGACCCTCCGTGCTGGGAAAATGTCTTCAGCACCAGGGTTTTCTAGGGATAAGGGGTTCCCCATAAATAGGACTCATCCCCCGGTATTTCTGCAGGCTCTCAAAACCCTGCAACGTTTGTATTAGCCTGAGAGAAGGGGGTTTGGAGCAGGTGCTTTATTAAAAGCCAAGAGCCCTGACACTAGGGATGAGCAAACGGGCCCCCCTGCCTTCGTCTCCCTGCACTCTCTCTTTGGAGCCCAAACGAGAACAAAAGACTTTGATCATCTCAGGGAGACAAAGAAATCAAAGACTTCAGCAAAACGCTGGCGTTTTAGCAAATTAACGGCTGTCTTCGAAAAACTGTTGCAGGGGGAAAACCTGCAGCCGACTTCATCCACCTCCGTACGGGCTTGTGGCTCAAGGCAGGGCTCCTGTTTTCCCTCCGTTCTTCCTTTTTCCACCCCGAATTTGGTGTCTCGCCCAGGAGAGATGTGTTTGACCGTGCAGCAGCCGGTGGCAAATCCATGTGCAGGGTCAGCAGGGTGCCGTCCCCCACATCCCCGGGGGACGCTGCGCCCCATCCAAGGGCTGGAAAACACACACCGGAGGCGTCTTTATTCCTAAAGGATTTATTCATCGCCCCCATTTATTAACCAGCCCTGTTTTACGCTTCGTTTTGGCACGACCCCACCTTGCTCAGCGCATTAACTCAGCACTTGGGACCTTCGGGGTCACCTCAAGCCTCTGCCACCCGCTTTGCGGAGCGCCCTTGGTCATGTCACCCGAAATGGGGTCTGGGGACGTGCCGGCACGCGGAGACAGCCTCTGAAAAAAAAGGGAAAAGCTAGTGCTGTTTTTTTCCAGGCAAGGAAAAAAAAAAAAAAAATCAACAGGCTGGCTATATCATTGCTTAAACAGCCTTAATTTATGTAATTGCTGCCATTTAAAACCAGAAGCAGATCGGCGCCTGGCGTAAATTGTCACGGTGCCGGGGTGTAAATTGTCACCGTGCCAGCCCGGCGATCAGACCCCTTTTGGGCTGGCAAAAAAATGGGTTTACAATTGGTTGGGAAGGCGGGAATCGCCATGGGTTTCCCGTTATTTCAGCCTGCCTGGCCAGGTTTGTCCTCCCCGAGCACCGAAAATGGGGTTTTATCCCCAGACGACATTGCGGGGGATGCAGAAGCTGGTGAAAGGCTTGTTTTGGGGAAACATCGCCCTTCCCTGCTGAGCAGCTTCTCTCGGTGAGCTGGCTGAGGGCTTTTGGCACAGCCGAACTGCTGGCAGCTGAGCTCCTGCTTGCCAGCTCTTGACTGACACCTGTCCATCAACCATATCACCCATTCCCCTTATCACACGGCGGATTACAAGAGGCTTTACGGCATCGCTGCCGGCCGGCCGGGAGCGTCTTTAGCTGGGGAGAGCCGAGCCAGCGAGGAACCGGGGGAAAAAAAAAAAGCAGGGAATGTCTTTGTTAAGGAGAATTTGTTGGTTTCCGTCCGCCGGTCCCGGGGGAGCGTTCAGGGCAACGCTAATTGAATTAAGAGCACGTGCGCTCCGGCAAGCGGCTCTCCAATGGGCAACGGTGGCGGGACCAGGCTGGCCATCGCTCCGGCGCGGCGGGCAGCAGCTGTACGCCGGCCCCGGTAATTGCAGGCTGAGCCTAAACTGTTGCATTTTGCATGATGCCGGTCCCCGGGGAGGGGGGAGAGCGGCGGGGCGGGAGGCATCTTCACCCCGGCTTTGATGCTGGAAGAGCTTGGTTGAGGTCGGGGCCGGCGGCGTAATGAAATGCGGCGGCACAGGGGACGATGATGCTGATGGTGTTAATGAGGCAGCGATGGGGAAGGGCACGGGGACGCCTCCGGACACCTCCTCGTCCCCCCCCCCCCCCCCCCCCCCCCGGCGGGGGCCGCCACCCCCCCCCG